TAAATTATAATTTAAATTTAGTAGTTAAGTAAATGCCGATATATCTCTAATTTATTATATATACATATATATCAGTATAAGTTATGTACATTTCTAAATATAATTTTATTTTAAACAAACATCGATATTAAAATAAATATAATAAAAAACCGTCACTGATTCAGATCTCAGACACGAGCCCCCAATTTATTATGTTAGGTATGATAATTTCTAATAGCCTAAAAATGAGTTAAATTGTAATTTAAATTTTGTAGTTAAGTAAATGCTGATGTATCTCTAATTTATGATATCTGCCAACAAGATTGATACACATACTTTTATTTTTTAATACAAATATGTTTTAATATATAAGCAACAATACAATTTACAATAATAGTTATTATAAACAATGATTTATATACAAAAGTTTTACAAACATACATGCTATGTAAAATCTTATTTCTAGTCTGGAACTTCCTTGATATCTTATCGAGGGTTCACGATAAACGAGTTGATGTAGATACAATTCACTTAATAGGGAGGTAGCTAGCTTTGTGAAATTCACTGAATACACTTCGATTTTTTCCTACTGGTGACGTCAGGTAATGTTTTCGTAAAAGTACTAATGTTCGATATGAATCCACATACGTTGAATGATTTGTAATGTTCGGAATTTATAAACGTTCTTGGTGTATATATATTAAGATCCCGATTAATAACATATATATGTTTTTGACGCGTCGCATTGGTTATATTTATAGGCGTGTGGAGAGTTTCTCGAAATTTCAGTTTTAGGTAACAATAGTGACGCTAACATCAGCGTTTGCGTACACGAACATTGTTGATTCTTACACTCGAGAATCTTCTACAACTTTAGAGAATAGGCGGGAGTTTCGCAACACATATTTAACAATATAAGTTATGTACATTTCTAAATATAATTTTATTTTAAACAAACATCAATATTAAAATGAATATATAATAATAAATCCGTCACACCATATAGTGCTCTTTGGTGTTATTCACTCTTCTTCTACTACCATTTACCACTATACATCTTGGCTGGCTCGCCACTTCCAGGTTTTCTAAAGACAGATTCTTTACAGTGTAAGTGTCTGAGACTTTATGGTGATAAATTTTAAGTATAAACAAACATCATCACAGTCCACTTGTTTTAAAAATAATACATTCAAAACAAATCAAACGTATATACATATGTTAGTTACACTGTTGGTTACCTCAGTTGCACCTAAAGCTATAAATGATTCTCTTTTTCATCAAAGTCCACACAGGCTGGTTAAGTTGCTTTAGAACACATTGACAAGATGAATTCTTCTGTATTCTGTTATTGCAATACATTTGTGATATGTCCCTTTAAAAATCGCCAGTATACACTCATTGTTGCTGAACTCACGACCACACATTCTAGAACTAGAACTAAATGATTTTTCGACGCGTATATATACCCCAACAAAAGTCTAACATTTCATACAGTACTAGATATTCTGATCCAATAATACTCAATTAAATCAACGAGAAACTCAGAAAGTTCT